CCGGGCATGTTGCCACTATATATCTACCTCCTAAATACCGATGCCCCAATTCCATTCCCTAAGTTTCGAAATCTATTTTGATGTGTTATTTGATGGGCTGATCGAAATTTGATTAAACAGGACACGGTTTCTATGAGTGCATGAAGAACTGAGCCACCTCTTAAAATTCTATTTTGAGATGGATTGTTTGACTTAATTGTTAAGAATATGTAATCTCTAAAGTGAAGATTATGAATAGGAAAAAATAAATAAATTTTAAATATTAGAAATAATAATTCTATTAAAAAAATATTTGGGCCCTCATGAATGTTTTATAGTATTTGAAACTTGAACAAAAATATAGTATTTGAAACTTGAACAAAAAAAATGCAAATAGCTGATATGAGAGGTATAAGTTGATAAATTTTCAAAAAACACTAGGAAAAGTTCCTCCTTATAAAACGACTCTAAGCCTCCATTTGAGGGACCATACATCTTCGGTTTTAAAGACTTAGAAACTTTTTCCTTATTCAGAATCGTTAATCAAGTATGATCTAGTAATTGTGAGATAAAATTGATCTTCATCGCTAAATTAGGTGATTGGGCGAGACCATACTATGCTTCTGCAAAATTAGTATGATCGGTAGATGCTATGCCAAATTTATTAGTTAATATAACCGATATATGGATGGTGATGAAAAGACAGAGATGAACACACTAAAACAAAATGTAACCCTTGGGTCTCATTCGCCCCCCCACAGGCGTTCACCGATTCAAATTAATGGTGATGACTCGAAGGACTCTGATTTTTCGTAGTATTCAATCTAGCAGTGGAATTTAAAAGGTCTCACATGATTTTCTTGAATGGAAAGCCCAAATAAAATTCAGGGAATTTATCAACACTACCTATTTCAAATGAAGTATTTAACATTTTGCCTATTTGGAGCTATTCCAACTCAAATACCCATGGAAAAAATTCCATGAGTATTTTGCAAATAAATTAAAATATTTGGCCAAAGCATTAAATTGGCAATTTTGATAAATTTCCCTAAATTTGAGGTGGATCAACCATAATACCCCAATCAATTCTTTTAATAACGGCAACCTCTATTCTTGTCTAATTTAAGCATAATTAGAATCTTATATCCATAACTTTTAATAACTTACTAAATTAAGTCCTCCCCATTATGAATCTGAATTTGGAGATCATTATTTCTAATAAACCTAATAACAATTTGGGTCATGGCTTTTTGCAATTCTAAATTCGGACTTTTTTAAGGATGCTTTTAAAGTTTTAACTTTGTTGGTAAGAGAACATCATTTGAGAAATTTTTCATGCTTACAAGCATTGAAATTTATTGTTATTATGACTTTTTAAGGATGCTTCTCAAGTTTTAACTTTGTTGGTAAGAGAACATCATTTGAGAAATTTTTCATGCTTACAAGCATTGAAATTTATTGTTATTATGACTTTTTAAGGATGCTTCTCAAGTTTTAACTTTGTTGGTAAGAGAACATCATTTGATAAACTTTACATGCTTACAAGCATTGAAATATTATAGAACACCAATTTCTCTCCTTATGAAGTAACTTGATAACATAGATTTAGTGAAATTAAAGCAAATGCTAGTTAGCAATCATTAGAGCTAGAAATAAGGATATGAAGTATAAACTAAGGTTCACCTTCTTAAGCAATTGGTTGAGTAAATCTTCTTCCATTTGGTTTTGTGGAATTGACATAGTTCTAGGTTCACACCTTAAAATAGGTCATGCAGTAGCCCAAATGAAACAAACATTATCTAGGTTCTTAATTTCATGAACAAGAGAAGATCCATTCCAAACAAATATGCTCTTGGTCCCAAAGTGAGATCTAATGTATTTTATTGAGGGCAAAAGATCACACATAGTTGAAATATCTAGGTAAAATGGGTATTGCCTGCAAAAATTAGACTAACAATCTAACCAAACAAATATGCTTACAAAGATTTTGACATGTTGAATAAGGAGAGGGTTTTAGAGGATACCTTGAGATATGTTTGGATCTTGGGTTTTATACAATCAGGTTTCCTCCAACACATTCCATTGTACAGGCCCTAATATGTGCACTGTCCAACCATTGGATGATGTAAATACCCCGAAAATCAAATGTCTTAATTCTCAAATGCAATCTGCATCGTCAAATGTATCCAATTATATAGGATTGCAGATTGTAGAGCCCACACCAAATTTGATTATTAGGACCGGTATTGAAACTGTGTCCTTTTTCAAAACTTGGATTTTTTATAAAAACAACCATTGGCATCTGGCCAACAAAATGTTGCAAGAGCCATGCCTTTGGACCCAATTTTGTTCTTTCTCTTTGTTCTTTGTATATTCTAGAGTTGAGACACTCATTTTAAATATGTCGCGGTATCTCAACACTCTTAATATCAATCTTGAATTCAAATAAAAAAAGAAAAAGAAAAAAGGTGAAATAGTTTGATTTATTTATGATGGAAAGAGAATTAGTGAATTTGCTTGGATTCTTAGTTTACCAAAATTTGGAAGGATTGAAACTAGCGGACTGATTACGACAATACAAGAGCACCTTTTCATTGTATCACAAGATTTGTCCTTAATGCGTCACAAGGTATATTTCCTTAATATTTTTTTTAACATATTAAATACATTGCATTAACATATTATATGCAGAGCATGTATAGCATCTTCTTGCAGGCGCAAACTATACACTTACTCCTTCAGGTAAAAGAAGGATTTTCTCGACTTGAGATAAGGAATTTAATCATTAAGTGAACATTCTTAAGGAAAATAAATTAGATTTTGAGGTCTTAAACACTTAGATTTTGACTGTCCAAAATTTAAATGATCTTTGTTCCTTATTACAAGTTTTTTTTTTTTTCTTTTTTTTTTACGCACAGATTTTGACTGTTCAAAATTTAAATGATCTTTGTTCGTTCTTATGAGTTTATTTTAGGCACAAATATAGTTATTTTGAAGTTAGTGTCCAGGTTGAGGAGGCAACATCCCTAAAATTTGAGGTCCTAAAAATACTCAAATAAGGTTTTTGCTTGAGTGCAGTGCATCGACATATTATCTTGATTATTGATTTTATGTTTTTAACAAACAAGCAGCTAAAATGGTTCTGTCAATGTTTTCTCAAATCTCGATCATTCATTGAGCACAATTTAGAGTTGAGACTTCATTTGAGATACTATTTTATACTGAATGAAATGCTGTACAATTTGAGTTGACAATCTGAAACAATTGACAAATCCAATCCCAATGTCTTAATTTAGAGTGGCAATACATCGCAGATCCATATATACATCGTTAGCTAATACGTGGCTAATTAATGTTTGGATAAAAAAAAATTTCCTTTGCCTCAACCTAATTTCGAGGATTCACGGATATACCTCGTTATGTTTCGATACTATCAGTACATATACGATTAGTACATGTACAATTTAGAATTAAGACCTATACTTAAGGTACCATTTGTTTACTGCATTTCATGGTTCCCAGACCTAGCATGGTTTATCACTACTTACATGGGTTGAATAGGCTAGGACCCAAACCGGCTCAACTTGTTCTTTTGATTCACACTGTTCGGCCTCTTCGGTGGACCCAGTTGAGTCCAATTGCGACTTGTTTGAGCCGGCTGGATCTTGCTGGGTTCATTTGTTGTTTTCCCCTAAATAGAGAAAATCACATAAACTTTATATAGAGAATCACAATATACAATGATAAGAAAACATACATGAGCTATGATGCATAACACTTCTAAGATTTCGTTTGGGAGATTGTAGATGTGATTCTACAATTGTGGTCAAAATTAAAATTAAATGTATGAAATTATCTTTCTTGTATTGAATCTTTTTTATTTTATCTTAATGGAAACATTAGTATTTAAATATAAAAATATAGGAAGAAAAATAAGAGTCCTATATTTAAACAACCATGGTCGATGTCTTGTGACTAACCGAATCCGGTGTTCGGATCCGAGTTTGGACCTTTCATTACTTTACAAAAGACAAGGGCCCATAGACAAAGTGCTTATGATATGGTCAGGGATTTATAAAGAGGGTGGTACAGATTTTATTGTCCCTCACCTTGGACATTGAGGGGATATATTATATAATTGAATCATTTTATGATTTACAATAACATGGATTTCTCCTAAAATGAAAAGGTTTAGTAGTCCTTTAACGTTGGCAAAGTAGGAATGCTACCGAATAAGTATGATGTTTGGTTTAATCAAAACCGTTTTGAAAATCGATCGAGCTGGCTGAATAATATTTAAAATAAAAATATAAAATTATAAAATATAAAATTATAAAATATCTCAAAATTTTGACCAATTTTGTTTAGCCGGTTTCATCGCTCAAAATTGATTGGTTTGACTAACCTAAATTGGCTAGACATTCATTTTGGCCAATTTTCGACTAAATCCATTTCTTGCTTTAAAGCACACATACCAATGTGCTAGCCGATGGCTGGACCACTAATTCCGTTGTAGACATATGGTTTGGACATAGTCTTCTTTTTTCAATAATTATTTTCCAAACGATTAGGGGTGGCAACGGTAGCGAACCTAAATTCCTCGGACCCATATCCGAAAATATAGTATGGGGCCATTAACCAGAACTGGATTTGACCCAAAAATTAAAATATCTATATATTTAAATATGTTTTATATATTAGGACCCGAAAAATATAACCTTAACTCGGACCCAATCTCAAATAGTATTCGGGTCCTAGATTTGGACCCAGACCCGATCTATAAGGTCCAAGTTTTTGACTCGTACCCGGACCTGGATCGGATCTACCCTCAGGTCCCGGGTGGTCCATTGCAACCCTTGGACTGATATTAGTCAAATGAGTGCTGAAATGAACAGCATGCCCCCCGAAATCTTCTGGCATTTTAAATCCAAAATAAAATTATGTCATCTTGTTAAATGATTGGGAGTGAAAGGGTCATTTGTAAATTATGAATCCTGCTTTGCGCTCCCACTAAACAATTCTCGAACCATATAGTTACAAGTGTCATTTATGGAAGCACCAAATTCAGTAAATGAAACGGGCGTCAGCTCGTAATTCTTCCACGCAATTCAAACCCTAATTTTTCCCTCACTAAACTCTCGCTCTTTGTCTTTCTTTTCAGTCACTACAGTGTTTCTCTCTCTCTAAATTCAATTCGGATCTCCATCATATGCCCTCGACTTGAGACGGAGTGGCAAACAAAATAAAAAAGCTTTTTGCTCTTCTAAAATCTGATAAATTGAAGGTTTAAATATCGGAATTTCTCTTCTGATCGATATCATATGGTTTTGTCTGTCTCAATAGATATGAAAATTACTCGGTAACATTTATATTCACGGAGAAACCCTAGATTTTGTTCAAAAGGAGTTAAAAATTGCAGAGTTTTGATTCTGATCGAAAATTCTAGGATTGGGAGACCTGGTACTTCTCGAAAGGGATTGCAAAATTTAGAATTATCAGTAGAAAATGGTTAGTGGACACCTTTTCCATTGTACAAAGCACTCATGGCCAGCTGAGGAGTATGTCCCTCGGCCAACATTACAGCTGGTGAGTTTTCCATTACTAACCATGTAAATGTCTTCTATTTTGAGAGAATTAGATTAAATCTAGGATTTTTGAACAATTATTTATTGAGAAATTGGCTCTTGTCTTGAAAAGATTTTGTGAATTTTCAATTTTAAAAAGTGGGATTTTCTACTTTCGTTCTTAAATTTTGGTGTTTATAATCTGGAAGTATTTTAAGTTTTTGATATCTGAATTAGAGAATCACTTGCATTTTCCTTTTTGGCATGTGAAGATCTAAATTCGGGATAAATATAAAATAAGAGTCTCCAATGTAATTGCCCGTGGGTGTAAAATTCTATTTAATTTCTGTGAAAAGCTGCTGATGTATGAGACTGGAAGCCCTTACTGGGATTTACGGGGACACTGATATTTGTATCATGTATCACATTTTTTGGACAGTGAACTTTTAGCTTTTTAAAAGTCTGTGCATTTTTATTTATGGATTGGAACATTCAGTTTGGCCTTCTTCATTGTATCTTTGATCGATTTTGTTTCTTTTTGTAAATTGTATCTTTTGAAGGTTGAAATTTTTACTTTTTAGGAGATGTTTTAGCTCAAATGTATCTTTTGATATGCTTTTAGGACAAAAACAGTTAGGATGACCTTTCAGGGAGTTCTCAGGCTTTTGATGGTCGAAATACAAGCCAATTCAATTTTCTCAAACCACAAGCCAAATTTTCTGCATGAATTATGGTAATTCTAGGTTGTGCTTGAGTTTGATTGGCCAAAACTTGAAGTTTAGTTCTTTTTTTTTTTTTTTTTTTTTTTTTTTTTGGGGAAAGATCAAATTCTGCTTTTCCTGGAATTATATATTGTATTTTTATTTAATTTAATGTGAATTAAGTTGTTGTTTACTGGATTGTCTTCTATGGTCACATCATATGTTTGATCTTTTTGCTAATTTAAAGGGTTTATATTTAATGGTGTTCTTTGATCACCTTTTCGGTGAGTTCCTCCAAATTAAATAGTTCTAGATTTCGTTTATCTGAATGAGTAATGTGTGTTACCAATTAAAAATTAAAAAGTTTAATGGGGAGTATCCTCAGTTGCAGTAATTATAATTGTTCTCATGCTCTCTGTTCTCCTTCGATACCATTTTGCAGTTAGAATCTGATTATGCTGCTCCACCTAGATATGCTTGGCGGAGAAGACTCAACAGCCATGCAAATTTGTTGAAAGAGTTTAGTGTTACATTTATGGAAGCTTTGAAAATGGTATGGGTGCTCTACTGATAAACATGCACATGTAAATATTTGTATATGTATTGTGCAACATACCATCGTGAATTTATGATCAACACATTATGTTTACCTAATATTCCTCTAACCCAGTTTGCAAAATGAGAATTGGTACAGATTCGACTTGGTGTGCGACTATGGAGCTATGTAAGAGAAGAAGCTTCTCATGGAAGAGTATGTAACAGTCCTATCTTGCATCCCTTTAACATATGCTATTATAGTTTAAGCTCCGACTGATAGTGTTATTAATGGCAGAAAGCACCCATTGATCCATTTACTCGAGAAAGTTGCAAACCTTCGGCATCTCTAGGGGTTCCACTTGGAGGAATGGGGTATGCTGTTTTCTATAATTTGTATGAAACTTTTTTCTTTTCTATTGGTTTTGGAAGTTTGTTACATTGTTTTGATGTGTCTATATCTTGGGTAGACTGAGAATTGAGTACTCTAATTCGGTTCGCATGTTGTGAGATTGCATCTTTTAATGAGCTAAAAATTCCACTTCTCTAGTTTTGAACTTAAGTGTGCTACTACAAATACTTTGGTGTAAAGTGCAGAAGTGGCAGCATATCTAGAGGCTTTAGGGGGGAATTCAGACATTGGCAGATAAGTCCTGGTTTGCATGAACCATCTCCAGTCATGGCGAATCAGTTTTCAGTAAATTTCTACACATTGCCTCTTTTCTTTTTATAAATATTTGTATCTTTTGGCTTGTAATGTGTTGGTTCAATGAGTTTACAATATGTGCCTTATTACATGGTGCTTATACATCTTTTCCTGGTTTCCATTTTAGGTTGGGGTTACATTTTAAGTTGTCCTTTTCCTTTAGTAGATTTCAATTTATCAAAGAACCAAAAACTTGCTCTTTCTTAGTCTTCATACATTTACATAATTGCAGATCTTCATTTCTCGAGATGGTGGAAATAAGAAGTATGCTTCTGTCCTATCACCTGGAGAACATGAGGGGATTGGGTAAGCACAGTTCTTTATTGGTCCATTCATTTTGTAGGTTGTTAAACTTTAAATGACCGGATTGTTAGAAGCGTTGGTTATGGGACCACTTGAAAGTAGATATATATTGCTTCTTTTTGGCAGGAAACTGGGTGATCAGGGCATATCATCATGGGGATGGAATTTGAGTGGTCAACATTCAACATATCATGCATTATTTCCCAGAGCATGGACAATATATGATGGTATGTTATCTGATCTTCTTAGTTGCTACAATGTTTATTACTATGATGGTAATAGCTGCATTGTGATTCAAATAGAAAATGGTAATATCTGCATTGTGATTCAAATATTCTATTTGTATTATCTATCTTTCAGGAGAACCTGATCCAGAGCTGAAAATTTCTTGTCGCCAAATCTCACCATTCATACCCAGAAACTACCAAGAAAGCAGTCTTCCTACTTCTGTTTTTGTATATACTGTAAGAAAACTACTCAATACCTCAGGTAGTATTAGGTAGGAACTCAATATGTAGATACTAAAAGGGAAGATATCCTCTGAAGAAATTGCTACTTGAACTGTATTTTTTGTGGTTGCACCAAACAATATGGGAGGAAATTCTAGCCTTATGGTGTTTTTAATAACCCCCCCATGTTTTGGTTGGTTACAGCAAACACATGGATGCAATCCTCCTCCGCTAACTACAATGGAAGTTTTATGTTTTTGCATCTTATGAAACGGGTTGTGTGGCTTTCAATGTGGTCTTTTTTGTGGGCAAAGTGTATTCTTGTGCCCCTTAGTTGCTTTAAGCCAAACTCATACTACCAACCATCTGTTATGTAGTGGTATTTTCTACTCTGTCTACTGCCTGCTTATCTTTCTGTAAACAAATTTTTTGCCAAGATATTGTTATCTTGATTGGTGATATAACATTTTAGCTTTTCTTCAAGGATGGCCGAGCGATAAGGTGTTCAATAGGCTTTGATGTTTTTCTTGGAAATGCCTTGCATGATTTTAAAATCACTCTTTTATGAAAGACTATTAAAGGGAATTTATTATTATTGGATGAGATTATGCCTTCCTGCGGCAGCAAATTGGACATTTTCTCCCTGGATAGGAGTATAGGAGTATATTTTTTACCCCAAATTTTGGGATGTAACCTAGTCGACCTAGAGATCGACCAAAACGAGAAAGGAATGCACACTCTTGAAGTGGCTGAAAAAATAATGCCTTACAATTGCACACAGATGGTTCATTTTTTGGATGGTCAAATCTAGGTGCTCAACAGCTCTAGGTGCTCAACAGCTCAAATCTCTCTCTCTCTCT